CTGAAAAGAAACTGGGTAGAGTAGCTTGAAACTATCACAAAAGACAAGGTTCTTTGGGCAGCCTGAGGCATAGCAAGAAAAGGGGTTGCACTGGAGGGGGTGACTGTTTGAATAACCTATTGTTAGTTTGTTTTTTATGTGATGCCTTATTATATCCAGATCTGAGTGAGGGAATAGATTATAAACCAGTCTTATGAAAGACATTAATAGTTAGCGCTACTGATGGAACTGCATCATTCAGAGGTGTTTGATTTTCATATCATTTTGATTGTTATTTCATTCTGTGCTGTAATACTATCATGTCTGCTGTGTTTTCTATAAGCGCCAGGTGTAAACGCTCAGTTTTTACTGTTTCTGACTTGGTGAAGGAATGACTGGTGAGGTTGAAACCAGTCACTGTTTACAATAAGATGTCCAGCTACACAGGGTTGCAGCAGTATCCCAAAAGTGACTGTTATCATACCATCCATATTTACAGTGCACTGGGCGTGCACCTTTTCTTCCCCATCTGCCTGTCAGACTCCACGACGGGCGCCACATGTGCAGTGGACAAATGGCAGAGAGGAGGAGGCTGAAATCACCTAATTCCATCCACCAAAAAGAGACATTAAAATCAGCAGTGTGGGATTACTTTGGATATCTCAGTGGGGTTGCAACCGTATGAGAGTTTCACGGTATGATAACCATCGCGGCTTCACAGTATTACAGCAATTCCTATTATTATCAGCGACAGTGACCCCCAAAGGAATGAAAACCAAAGCATCTTTTCATTGCAAGTGACTGTGACAGTTGTTTGAGCTGGATTGACCCTAAAGTTATAAATACGATTAAAGAAAAAATCATGTAACTATAGCATGTTATATAACTACAATATGTTAGTCTGCATGTTAGTACCAGTAGCAGAGGAAATATTCACATCCTTTACTTAAGTAAAAGTACTACTATCACACTGTAAATGTAGCCGACTCTATTACAAGTAAAAGTCTTACACTGGAAATGGTAATTAAAATTGAGCATTATCACGAAGATGTACTTAAAATATTAAAAGTAGAAGTAGGCTACTCATTGCAGAAGAACATATCCTATGTCATATTATTACATTAGCAGCCTATCACTCATGCACTGATGTAAAAGCAGGACTTGACTGTTGAGGTGGAGCTCTGCTGAACTATTTGGTATCCAAGTGTAACTACTGATTATTTTCTTTAGGGCTTATTTTTTCCATTAATCGACTCACTTGTTTGTAAAACTTCTGACAGTGGTGAGAAATGCCATCACTGATGTCTATATGATTTGCCCAATACCTACTAATTAAGTGTAGGTGCATGATGGCACAGCCAGACTGATTCTGTCTGCGCCTTCTCTCACACACACACTCACAACATTCTCTTTTTTGTGATATAATGCATTGTTTTGTTGGATGTTCTTTGCTAGGTACTGCATCAGTCGGCCACAGTACAAGACTTCATGTGGAATCTCTTCTTTGGTGTCCTGCTGGAACTTCTTGTACAGCACTCTGGGTGCGGGGAGGTGAGCGGCATGTACTAATGATGTAAAACTAAAGCTCACGCAACACTAAGATGACCACTCAAATCAATTCATCTTCATCACTGTAAGGGTAGTCGTATGCAGCAGCTTGCTGCCCCGATCAACAGTAAGAGAGAAAAAGACTGTCAATCACAAAAACAATTCAAAGGCTATGAGCTTAATAACTATATCTTGAATTGGTAGTAATAAATAGCCCATTTATAATCATCTAAAAAGACAGAGAAGGCATTGAGGCTGTACAAAGACAAAAACATTTAAGACTAAACAAAAAATAGAGGAACTGATTGGTAAATAACACTATGTATTTATTTGCACTTGTCCTGTTATAAATAAAAAAGAGAAATTTGTGTTAAATAGACTAACTTTGAAAGATACTGACTCAAATTAGCATAGTGAAACAGCTGAAGCTGCATTTGAGCCTCAGATTGAACTTGGGAGTGAGTTTTTGCACAGAACAAGAATGTTGTGTATTTGGTCCCTCATCTTTTGCAGCATAGAGGTGGAAACTTTCAGGGTCTATGTGGAGAGTAGGAGAAGTGACAACATCTTGGACCTCTTCTCATGTACACAGGGACACATCAGTACTGTTTTAGCACCAACTTGAAATACGCCAAACCATTCCTTTAATGGTCTTTGTAACTGTTACCTCTGGAGATGATTTCTGTATTTTTACTGCACTAAAGGTGTGATCATTTCTTAACAAGTGTGTATTTTTTTGCGCTGCTAGTCTTCCACCCATCTCTCAGGAAGAGGCTCTGCATATTCTGGGGTTTCAGCCGCCTTTTGAGGAAATCAAGTTTGGTCCTTTCACTGGCAATGCTACTCTAATGCGGTATATAAACGGCTTATTTGGTCTTTAAAGAATCACTCCACTTTGGGGAATGTATGCAGGTCAGTAATCAGTGCATTTTTATTACAGGTGGTTCAGACAAATCAATGACTATTTCCGAGTGCGGGGTTGCTCCTACATTCTATACAAACCACATGGAAAACACAAGACAGCTGGAGAAACAGGTGAGTCCCACTGCTGTCACAGCCAACTGTGTGTTCTCATAAAGAGGTCACACAAAGTGATAACCAATCTGTTTTTAGCTGAAGGAGCACTGATGAAACTGACACAAGGGCTGAAGGATGAAGCTATGGCCTACATTTACCACTGTCAGAACCACTACTTCTGCCCAGTGGGATTTGAAGCCACGCCACTCAAAGCAGCAAGGGCTTATAGGTAGGTCGCCTCACTTCAGTTTGATTTGTCTGGTGATTGTTCTTTTAATGAATTGATTAGCCATTTAGTCCAGGGGTTTTTAAAGCCTGACAGTGGGTCCACTCTCCAAGCAAAATCGAGACAACCGCACCCCATCACACGCCCCCTTACTTGTATTGGTAGATAATTATGGTCCAGGTTTCGGAAATCCAGTTCCAGTAATGCTGGTAGGGAAATGTAATGTTTCTATGGACAGCAGTGGAAGAAGTACTCAGATCTGTTATTTAAGTAAAAGTAGCATTATGACCATATAAAAGTAAAAGTCCTGCATTCGAAATGTTACTTCAGTAAAAGTACAAAAGTATGAGCATCAAGTAACAGTGCCCATTTAATATTAATGAATATCATATTATTGGTTTATAGTTACTGATGCATTATTGTGTACATCACATTTAATATTGCAGCTGGTGAAGGGAGAGCAAGTTTTAACTAGCTTATATGCATTTAATTTGAATTACTGCTGGGTAGCTTGTGAATTTTCCACCGGACATCAATCAAGTATTATGATTATACTGTAATCTTTGTATTGATCTGGTTCTGAAAAGTGACTCTTAACTGAAGTTAGAAAATAAGCGTAGTGGAGTAAACGGTACAATAGAAGTTTGGAAGAAAGAACCATTTGTTCAGTATTTGAAACTGGCTAAAAGGATTGTTCAGTCAGCAAAACAGCTGCAGATTTCTCAGCTAGTTGTTTCAGCCCAAAAGAGTTTATAAACTAATGAGTGTTGTTCCTGTTTGTGCAAAGGGGCCCGCTACCCACAGGTGAGATGGAGTACTGGATCTTAATTGGGGAGCCCAGCAGGAAACACCCAGCTATCCACTGTAAAAAGTAAGTTCTGTCACTGCTCAGCCAGCTTTCACCATGTCCTGTTGTTGAGCTCTTTATTATGAAGCCTCTCTTTTCAGATGGTTGGACATCGTTACTGACCTCAACACACAAAATCCGGCATACCTGGATATCCGTCACACTGAGAGAGGGATTCAGCAACGCAAAACCAAAAAGGTTCCCCATGTCTTTGTTTTTGTTCTTTACTGAATTGAATTCCTTTATTGTCATTGTATGCTCTACGAACAATGAAATTAGAAGTAAAACACCATTTGGTGCATGAAGAAGGAACATGGAAACATCAAAAACACTAAAACCACACAGGACACTGAATAACAGTAATAAAAGAGAATAAAAAAAAAAACTAAAGTTTCACATTACAACAGTTAAAGTGTGAAGTGTAACAGCATAGCAGCATTGACTCATTATCAGTGCATGTTAGAGTTCAGTACACAGATGGCCCTGGGAAAGAAGCTGTCCCTCAGTCTGGAGTCATTTGTAGTGCCTGCACGAGGGCAACAGTTTAAACAAACAGCGACTAGGGTGAGAGCAGTCTAACAATGTTTTTAGCTCTAATGAGACGATAGGAAGTTGCTGACAGCCAATGATTATTCAAACATTGCTCTCTGAAATTTGGACACACTTTCCCATTGAATTGAACGGGAAATGTGTGTCCATACTTTTGACTGGGAGCACATAGCTAAAGGACTGTTCCTGGCTGTCAGGTGGGGGGCAACCTGCACTGCATCATGGCCTTCCAGAGGGTGAACTGGCATAAACTCGGACCCTGGGCTCTGAATTTGGAGAACCTGCGCCACGACTTCCACCAGTCCGGCACAGAGCGAGCCCAGGGAAGTGTCACAGAGGAAACAGAGGAGAGAACATCGAGCAAGCACCTGGCCCACCTGGGACGCTCACACAGTATGGGAAGTCAGAAAGACACCTGCTGGAAACGCCTGTCCAACATGACGGAGTACAGGCAGAGGAGCTCCCCTGACAGCGACCTCGAAGAGGACATCACAGACTGAGAAGGTTCACACAGGAGGAGGACTACATACAGGGCAGTAGCACTGAGTTACGTTTTCAAAGGGTAAGTCTGGTGTGACTCGTTTTATTGTCAACAAATGCAGTGAAAACACTAAACCCAACAATGTGTTAGTCCGTCTCTCAACACCTATCCAAACTCTGTAGTGCACTTAGCCCCCAGCTCATTGGTCCCCTACCTATAATTTCAATATTTAAAAACAGGTCACAAATGCATGGTTTCATTTTTATCAAAGGCTAAATACTGTCTTATAACAGAAAGGCACTGCTTTTAGCAAATGTTAATCAACCAGAAGTAAAAAAGTGCATTCACTGGGACACTTTTTTCAGTGGCAGAATAATATACAATTAGTGAGCAATGCCAGCAAAAGAATAAGAATGACTGTTTCAGGTTTCAGCTATACAGAAAAGAATGACTTATTATTGATAAGAACAATACAGAATGACACCAGACCTCTCCTCCAATACTGGTGGATTAATGAGTTCACAGACTGTTAGATTTGGATTCAATGCAACAGTTTTTTGGTTGTATTGTAGTGTGTAGTGCTTTTAATCAATATTGTGTTTAAGATACGTAAGTGTCGACCATGGTCAACCTCCTGTTCCTCTTTGTCCTCAGGACGTTTGAAACATTTTTTGCCACCATCACTAAGCAACGTCTAGACTGCAACTGATGTACAGTACCAGCAACTCCTATAAATCACAAATCTGCAGGCAGCTACACATGAGCCATATTAAACGGACTATTGTTTGGCAGCATGGGTTTATTAGCGATCTGAGAGGCCGGCCCACAGAGGGCATGCTTAGACTGCTTGAGTATCAGTTTCAAACACTACAGTTTGTTATGTGGAAAAGGGAAAGCCTTAAAAATCATGATACTGTAAATGCAAGCACATGAAAACTTCAGTGACAAAGAGGAGCAGCAGTGTTGATCTGATCAAAACAAACATCTACAGAGTCGAATCAACATTTCTTACAGTTTTAAAAACAGAGTTGCTACGTGGGCTTCAAAGTGCCATCAATCAACATTTCTTACAGCTTTAAAAACAGTTGCTACGTGGGCTTCAAAGTGCCATTGCATTGTAAGGTGTTTCTCTTATTTTGACCACGCTTGTATTTAAACACAAAGTGGGACATTACGTGTTCCTACATGCTACGCTACGGGACCGTTTTCATTTCATCCTATTACAAGTCTCACACACACAGACGCTGCGGTGATACTGTAGGAGTGTACATTATACTCAGCTAGTGCTACCTAGGAGACACGTGACACCGACACATTAGCTGTAAATCGTGTAACCTCCACACTTCATTGTACAGGTACAGTGAGTGGACTTTATGTACAGTGATGAGTTCAGTGGAAATGCTGTCCAGTGCCAGTGTTGTGAAAGCAGATGACATTTTATTGTGCTTTGTGAAACCTAAAGTAAAAGACCATCATGTAGATGATCCCAGTGTTTAAAAGACGGGAGCTGGACACAAGTGACTATGGACTCCCTCTGTCTCCAAAAAAAAAGAGCAATATGAACCCCAGAAAGTGAAGGGTGCATGATTTACTTGATGTTTTCATACAGACACAAACTGTTCTTACACTACTGTTCACACCTTTATGGCACACCGTCGGTCTTTGACCCGACTCAGACGTCACCATGTACTCAAGTGATTTTGATGTAGTAGTTTATTTATTTGACAATAAATTAAGATTTGTATGAAATCCCAGAGCAGACATCTTTCTTCATAACATTCACTGGTACAGTTTCAGACTGGTCTCAGTGGAGTGGCTGGAGATGTGCAGCTTCCTTTTAACTGTTGTTTCAGCTCTGCTATGTGTGTGGGAGAAACACGGCAGCAGCCCCCTACAGGACAAAGTAATGCTTCTGAGAGAACACGCTGAAAAACAGGACAAAAGTCAAATGAAGACAAACCGGTTGCCCTTACCTATCAGAGCAGCGCCTTGCTTCACCCAGGTGTGACTCAGTTCAGGCACTGGTGCTGATGTTTGTCTTGATGGGAGCCACCTTTGGACAAAAAAAAGAAACCATGAGCAGTACTGCCTCCTACTCACCATTACTGTATCATTTTTGAACCTTTAACTATTAAGTTTAACATTGGCAATGGGGCTCATTTATTCACTTTAACTCCCCCAAGTGTCTCAGGTCTAAAAGCAAAGAAGGAACATTTCTGCATCTTTTTTTGGTAGCATTTCTTCTTCAGGTCATTGTTCAACATTTTTGTTCATTTCAGTCCATGTCTGTAATTTTATGAAATCATGCCTGATCGTGTGTGCAATTCAGTGATTCATACGTCAGTAGAAGCTTTGCTTTTAGCCCTTACATTGTGTACTGTGGTTACACAATACCATAGACATTTCCAAAAAATATATTAACGTGTATAAACAAGACATGGCTATTCTTAAGTTGGATGTCACATCTGTTGATTAAAAACACAGTAGCTCTGACTTTGTTATTAAAAATTTACAGACTACAGACTCACCCCTGCTCATTGTCCCACTCCTCTCCACTGTTGGGGTAGACCACCCAGCTCATGTCTGGGCCCAGCAGGTGTCTGGCAGAGTCCAACAGCGGTTCCACTATAGCTGGAGAACAGCAGTTGACTCCTACAGCGACCAGCTGCCTGGATCTGTTGGCTATCTGGACTGCATCAGTGAACGGGTTGCCATCTGATATACACCTACCATCCTGAGTGTTTTTGTACAAAATATGGGTAAAAATGGATCAACACCAATTGTACTGTTTGGGACCGAGTGTTACCTTGCAAGAAAAGGAGAGCCAGGCTTTGGAGTTTGGGAATTCTTTGAGCAGCTCCAACAGAGCCTCTGCCTCTTTGATACTTGGGATTGTCTCAAAAGCTATGAGATCCACTCCTGCTGCTGCTAAGCAGTCGATCTGCGGCCGATGCCAAACTTTAAGCGTCTTGAAAATAAAAATAAAAAAGAAAGACGACGTCTGAGACCCTGACAATCAAAATCAAACATGTTAACAGAGAGCCTAAGAGTCTGATGAGTGACAGTAGTTTTCATAATACAGCACCACCTTCGCACAGTATGAATAATGACACTGACGTGACCAGTATGAACATACTGACAGCCACTCACTTCAGTAGTCATCTCCTTTGCATACGCCCCAGTGTACTCTGAGCCGTCGTGCAGAAAGGCCCCATACGGTCCAACAGAGCCTGCCACTAAGGAATATCTCTGCTCTTGAGAGATAAACAAAACAGCATCATAATTACAATAACACAAGCTCATCTTAAGAAGATCTCAAAGACTACAGAGTTCTAGAGCTTTTTACCTGCTGGACTGTCAGAGACAAATCTCTCTACTGTCTCTTTGGCCAGACGGACTCCAGACATCAGCAGCTCTCTGGCACCTTCAGAACTCAAGTCCAGGTGATTGATGAATCCTGTAATACTTGCCTGGTATGTGGCTGTGGATATAACATCTGCACCACTGAGGAGGAACCTGTGGTCAGATTTTAAATAATTGGTTTCTACCATTATTTATCATTCCTTCACACCTAGATTTGGCATGAATATACCTGTAATGAGCATCTCTTATGGCCTGTGGATTAGTATGCAAAAGCCTGGCATTCCACAGTGGATCTCCCTAGATGTGTGAGACATAGACAATCAGTAAGTTGAAAGAAAAAAAGCATTAATTGTCAGCTATGTTGGATTGATCATTTAGGACAGTTGTTTAAAATGTGGGCGTGTTCTACCTGTATATGACACCCTTGCGCTTCCAACTGAGTTGCTAGTCCACCATCCAAGATCAGTGGGCCATTATCATACATGTACTGTCGCAGACGAGAACCCATGGAGAAACACAGAAGTTACACTCTTGTTCACACCAAACACATTAGGTCTAGGGGATACAATTGTAAAGACGTGGCGATTTAGAAATCTTAATCGCATACAGAGAAGGAAACGTAGTGATATAGGATACTTCTTGTTACGAGCTGTTGTTCTTCCGGGTAAATGAAGGTTCAACGGTTGCGTTTACAGCTGCTCGAAATTTTGGAGTGTAGCATAGCATAGCACCAGACCACCACTAGATGGCGCATAGCACCAGACCACCACTAGATGGCGCATAGCACCAGACCACCTAGCACCAGACCACCACTAGATGGGATGGCGCATAGCACCAGACCACCACTAGATGGCGCACGACACAGTGTCTACATTTATAGGCGTGTACAGTATAGTGATCGATGATTGTTTGCCAAAAGTCAAAGCCAGGCGATATGTAGGGTTGCACCATAACAAAGCCCAGCTCACGAATGAGTCTGACTTTCCTCAGTGAAAATGTAGACTCACCATTTAAAGAAGACAAACGGTACCTACTGCCCTAACGTGGCAAAGAACAGGCTTCACACGAGATCGACACAACGCGGAACAAAACGATAAGGGAAGACGGAAAGGTGTGGAATATTAAGTAGTTTGAGACATCGTAACTGAAGCACCAGCACCGTTTTCTATGTACTTATAAGGAATATAACCTTCACTTAGACTGAAATATCAGCACTGTTCTATATAAATGTACTTATAAGGAATGAAACCGTCACTTAGTTGAAGTGTATGTGTTCACTCAATCATTAGCAGTATGTGTGCTCACTTAATTACAGAATGTACTTTGGGATTAGGGAGTTGTGCTTGGTACAGCTCTGATCCAAGGGGGGTATCTTTGGGAAAGTAATGAAAAATTCCAAGATGTGTAAGGGGAGGGGGAGGAATAGAATATAACACACAGTTTTGGTAACTGCACCTTAGATCATCTGCTCTGCTGCTGGCTGTATGATCTCCAGATATATCTGCAATAAAAGGGAATAGTGCACTTTGATATTTGGTGTGTGACTGAAATTCTTTCCACTATCTGGATTCGAGAAGAAGTCTGGGACTTCACAAAGGAAAAACGAATACAGGAAATCCTACCGGAATGCTCTGCAGCTACTGGAGATTCACATCAACATGATCCAGCTTCTCTCTGCTTGTCTACTCCTCACTGATGATCAGTGTCCCTGGTTCGACTTCTGCAGCAGGAAATCTGAGTAGATTTAAGCAGCGTTCGCTTCAAATTGCATGATAAGATTGATTTCCTTGCCGAGCCTGCTGCTACCAGTCTTGGTCCTGTTCATGTCTAAAAATCCGGAAAGCAGTTTGGAAAGCAGTCCCAGTGTCTCGCAGCCAGGAGCCAACAGGGCTCTTTGTTCAAGATCTGTTCACCAATGCACTCATAGAATGGAGTTATGTAGTTTCATAGAATGGGAATTCAACCCGGAGCAGTGGCATCGTTGTAACACTCTCCTCCTGTAAGAATGGCCAGCCTAAAAAGATCACCTGGTAAAAACTGAGCGTGTGGTCGTGCCTGTATTGGGTTGATATAAACACTGCTGTGTCATGTGATGACTCTTCACACATTTTGATTTGATATTTTTGAAAAGACATATTCTACACTATGCTCTCACACATGCATGTATTTAAACATTCAAAACAATGCAAATATGTAGAGAAGTCAGTATGTTCCATACATGTTGTGGAGAAAAAAATAGAAGCATTCCTGTGTGTCCTGCCCTAAAATGACCACAGCTTTAACTTTGCCCTTAGCTCTAAACTTACCCAGCACCCAAAATATCCAATCCCTGCCCCATCGGCGTCGCTAGACCCCTTGTACTGGGGCACGTGGCCCAGTGTAAATCAGCTGGGCCCCAGTAAACCAACTGACGCACGTAAAAGAAACACAATAAAAACGAAAACGATGCTGCAGCTGCGCGTGGAAACTATGTTTCCGCGCGGCGTGCCCGTGTATACCGACCGCGCGCACGTTTCAAATGCCAATCAGCGTACGTCGCGCAAGATGATGTATGAAAACGCTGTGAAAGTATAAAGTTTCCATGGTGCTAGCTATACTATCTGAACAATGACTAATTCCTCCTGTAGATGGATAACAGAACATTCTTGTTGTTTCGAGGCAAAGAGAGGGAAGCAGAAAGGAGAGATGAGTTTGAGGGAGGTAAGACAAATGTTGTTGACAAATGAGCTGTAGCTAACGGACTTACAGGTGTGTGTAGCTGTGAACGGTCATTCAGCGCACTGAGACGACTCCACACTTGGCTGAGGTGCACAATGGGCCAAGACAGGCTTCACCATCTTGCTGTCTTATCAGTTGAGCAGGAAGAATTTTGTAAAATGAGTGAGAGTCAAGTTATTGACAGGTTTGCCAAAATGAACAATAGGCGCTACACTTTATTTCACAAAAAGGGAACCAACTTAACTGCTTTGATTTGGTGGACAAGATGCTTTTAAGCTTGGGGAAATACTTAGCTTTACTTTGTGTATAGGATGTGTAGGATAGGATATTAATTTGGAGTTGCTGAAGTTATATTTGGACTGTGCCCCAGTAAAGCTTCAAGTCTAGCAATGCCCATGTCCCGCCCTTATAGCTGAATGTCTTGACTTTGATATCTGACCTCACCCAGCCAGCAGTGACACCAAGATCAGTGCTGTTACACATCTGTCACTGACAATCTACTTAGAAACGTCCTGGTTCCCTATTTTTGAACATTACAATTAATGCCAACATTAACCTTGTTCCTGATTGTAACTAAGCTCAAACAACCACCACCCCCAGCCAACCATGTACCTTGATCCATAGCATGTTACTTCTAGCAGAGCCTGTGGTGCAAAAGAGCTGCCCCAGGTTTGCTGTGTGGTAAACACAAATCACTTAACACCAAACTAAATGAAACTCCATATATTTGGAGAATATAGTTGACACAAAGGCTGGAGTTATTAGGCCCCACTGAGGTCTGATACCCTAGGCCAGTTGTTCCCTTTTTATACAAAATCCACCATGGTCAGGGAAAACTGGCGCGGTGTCCTGTAGCATTATCCAATAAATGTAAATTACAATTATACTCAATCAAAAAATTACTTTATTCTATAAAAGGACAATGTTTTTGGCCATCTGGCCTTCATCAGTGCCACAATCTCACAGTACAACACTGCATACAGGTGAAACCTCTTGAATTAATTAGCCTGCATCTGGTTGAGTAACCATTAATGAAGTAAGCTGAGTTCTTAGGAGTCAACTCCATCCAGCCACTATCTACTCCGCTTATATTAATGAGGGCCACAGGGGGCTGAAGCCAATCCCAGCCAACATTGGGCGAGAGGCGGGTTACACCCTGGACAGGTAGTAGGACACAGGTAAAAGTGACAAACTGTTCTATCCTATGAAAAGCTCAATAATAGGCTGTCTAATTTAGCTGTATTAAAAGGCACCAATGTCATAAATGTACAAGATGCAATCAACTTTAATACAAGTCAATATAAAAATATATTTGAGTTCAGGTATACATCGGATAGAACATATTGCCACATTTACCCGTGTCTTAAGAAGACCAGCTTGCTTCATGAGGGATCACTCAACCTGGTGCAGGCTAATTAACTTAACAGGTTTCACCTGTGTGTTTAAGGAAGCAGCTGTGCTGTGAGATTGTGACACTGATGAAGGCCAAAAACATTGTCTTTTCTCAGAACAAAGTGATTTCTTGTTACTGAGTGTGACCCTAATTTACATTTACTGCTTCCATTTGACAGGGTGATAAACCAGTCTTGTTCTACCCATGATTTACTTGAATACCCCTCAGCCTGACCAATAGTAATCTCAGCTTCTTGGTCCCAGAATTGTCACATTCTCACAGTCAAGAGATATACCAGCATTTGTTCATGTTCTGAAAAATGTCCTTCAGCGGGGAGAAGTGCTTCTGTTCTGCCAGGTCAATGCGAGAAAGATAGACAATAAGGACTAATTCAAGCTTGAGTCATCACTCCTCACTAGACTGGCGAGAAGGTGAGAGAAAGGTGGGTGTCTTGGTTGAGGAGTCTGACACACGCAAATGTACACTTTGCTCTCACACACATGCATGTATTTAAGCATTCAAAACAATGCAAATATGTAGAGAAGTCAGTATGTTGCATACATGTTGTGGAGAAAAATATACAGACATTCCTGTGTTTCCAGCTGAGTATGTGTGCTTTGGCAGTAAGGAGGGCCTTGGGACCAATGCAGCTGTCCCAGAAGAGCAGCTGGTCACCAGTGTAGTGTTTTTCACATGGGGTCTTCTACTCAGGCTGTGACAGACACTGGGACATTTTGAAATCAGCTGCAGTGTGCTGACAACCGGTTATAATGTGATTTGAACTCTGCATCTGTCTGCGTCAAGGGAACACACATGCTTTGCAAGAAACCATTACTGTCAGGAGTGCTTGCATAACTAGCTAGCCACTGCTGCACTGTACACTGTTTTATGTCTGCATCGTATTTGCCACTGTTTTCTGGGGAGAGCAGATCCATGTGCTGTTCTGATGTTGAGCATGCACCACCAAAGTCTATGAACAGCTATTCCTGACCAGATCACGGGTTACTATGGTGACACAGGAATCTGCCAGATAGTGATATGTCTGCCAGGAATACTCATCACAGCAGTGAGTTCTCTGAGCACATGTATCTGTATATACTGTATGTGTACGAACACTAGATTAGTTCAGGTCGCAAAATCCAGTGAGGCTAATGTTTGACTATAAGTGCCACCTGAGACAAGAGAGGGTTCGACAGACAAGGGGTTCACAGAACACATCGCAGGCCGTGCGCATGAGGAGGAGGCAGCCATGAACGTATGAATCCATCTCCCACCTCCCCTCTTCTTTCTGTCTCACAGCCTCAGAACAACGTCCTTCCACCTCCTCTCATTTCTACCCTTCCTGTAACCATAGAGACCACCATTGCCTGGGGAGAGGTTTTCTCCTAGACAGACATGGTAGTGTAACAGGACTGTAGATGTACTGTATGTGTACACACGAGCACAAAAGATCACAGCTTTAAAGACCCCCTCTTGAGCAGTCTTTGGCAAAGCTACTTTCAGTTGCAAACATTTACTGCATCTTTGCACAAATGCAGAGAGCAGGATGTGAATGCCAGTCAAATTATTCACTGTACACAAATTGCTCACTTATCTTAGATAAGGAAACTTTAATTTCAGTCTGACCATTTGCAGCGTTATGTAGAGAATACAAAGTTCGGTTTTCTTGTAGAGGCTACATAGGGTATTATGTCTTTAACTGCAGTCTGGATCTGTTTTATTCCCACACTTGTTCTTTTTTTGATTCAGTAATATCCCGTTTAGGTGCGTCTTCATGTCACCCATCCAGGGAGTTTAGAGAAGCTGTCCTGCTCTGAGAAGCTACATATACAACATATGGTCCCCGATCATAGAGCTGAAGTGATAAAAACCAGTAGTGAGACATTCAGTGCCCTTTATTGAGCAGTCTTGTCTCCTTTGTGCACTCTGGCTCTGTAGCTCCCCTCCTGCAGCAGTTGTGCAGATCCACTCCCAGTCACTGACTCAAAAAGAAAAAGCTTTTGACATTAACAGTCAGTAAATAATACAGGCAATAAGGTGAGCTTCAGGCTGCAGAAGTGCAGCATGATTATTATTGAGACGGCACAGAGCAACACAAGCAGTAAGCTGACAAGGGTAATGTGAGAACTGTACTGAGCTCAGTTCAATGTAGAGGACTGATAAATCTGAATTACTGTCTGCCTTTATCTTAAAATGAGACGCATATCACCATTTGTGTATATAAGTCCAGATATACTGCATACAAGCTCAACAGCATTACAACCCTGGTGTAGATATATTTGCTAATGCAGATTATAATGTCAATCATAGAAGGCCACACATTTCATATAATGTTGATAAATGTTGATAATCTGAAGCCAAAACAATAAGACCTTATACAACTTTTCTTGAAGACAGTTTCAGTCATCTCAGTCAGTATCTGCACAACTTCCTGTTGTTCTGAGTCTCTCTGCACCTACTCACACAGCATTTCATGTCCACAGGTCAAGTCTTTACAAAGGTCAAACAGATTAAACAATTATTTGAACAGTTTTGCAAATACATAACATAACACTATCATTTTATCAAGAATTTCTTTCTACACTATTCAACATCATATGTGGCACCACACAAATTTTACAGCTCGAGCTAGCTATCTGGCTAACGTTACCTACTGTAAGCTAGCTTGTTTGAACTGAGCTTAATGATGCCGTCAGCTAACATTATTATTTTCACATTCACTTTAAGTGTGAGAATTATCTGATTATATTTAGACAGCGTAACATTGACATCTTAATAAAGTTACAATAAAAAAAAAAACATTGACATCTTAATAAAGTTACAATAAAAAAAACCCACAAGGAAATGGCGGACATCAAAAAAGATCAAAGCGCATGACGTCATCAGTTGGTGAACTAACGGCTCCAAACTTGTGCTTGATCCCAAACATTTGCTCAACCGTGCGTAAATTTTCATTTGAGAAGTATGTACCATTATCAGATCTGATTATTTCTGGTATACCAAACCGAGGGATTAATTCCCTCGTGAGCCATTTAATTACCTCTTTACCAGTTTCTGATTTTGTGGGAGAGGCCTCAACCAATTTAGAAAACGGATCCACACATACCAGTAAAAACCTTTTTCCTTCAACTCTTTTATCTGCACCCATATCAGTGAAATCAATGACCACTTCCTTCCACGGGGCGTCTAGAACTGGAAAACCTCCTAGGCCCGCCTTCAGCGCGGCTCTAGAGTTGAACTGGTTACATATTTCACATGTTGCAACAAAGTACTTTGTGATGTTATTCATTTGTGGGTGCCACCAG